AAAAAGACTATAATTTTTGAGGCTATAAATGGCTGATCAAAAGTGGCTGATCAAAAGTGCCTGATCAAAAGTGGCCTGAACAAAAGTGGCTGATCAAAGTGGCCTGATCAAAAGTGGCTGATACAAAAGTGGCTTATCAAAGTGCTGATCAAAAGTGGCTGATCAAAAGTGCCGTGATCAAAGTGTACTGATCAAAAGTGGCTGATCAAAATGGCTGAACAAAAAGTGCCTGAACAAAAGTGCCTGATTCAAAAGTGGCTGATCAAAGTGGCTGATCAAAAGTGGCTGATCAAAAGTGGGATGATCAAAAGTGTCTGTTCAGAAGGGGGCTGATCAAAGTGGGCTGATCAAAAGTAAGCTGACCAAAAGTGGCATGACAAAAGTGCCTTGATCAAAAGTGCCTGATCAAAAGTGCCTGATCAAAGTGCTGATCAAAAGTGGCTGATCAAAGTGCCTGATCAAAAGTTCCTGATCAAAAGTGACTGAATCAAAAGTGGCTGATCAAAAGTGCCTGATCAAAAGTGCCTGATCAAAAGTGCCTGATCAAAAGTGGCTGATCAAAAGTGCCTGATCAAAAGTGGCTGATCAAAAGTGGCCTGATCAAAAGTGCCTACAAAAGTGCCTGATCAAAAGTGCTGATCAAAAGTGCCTGATCAAAGAGTGCCTGATCAAAAGTGCCTGATCAAAAGTGCTGGATCAAAGTGCCTGATCAAAAGTGGCTGATCAAAGTGCCTGATCAAAAGTGGCTGATCAAAGAGGCTGATCCAAAAGTGCCTGAGCAAAAGTGTCCCTGATCAAAGTGCTGATCAAACGCGTGGCCTGATCAAAAGTGCCCTGATCAAAAGTGGCTGATCAAAAGTGGCTGATCAAAAGTGGCTGATCAAAAGTGGCTGATCAAAAGTGGCTGATCAAAAGTGGCTGATCAAAAGTGCCTGATCAAAAGTGGCTGATCAAAAGTGGCTTGATCAAAAGTGGCTGATCAAAAGTGGCTGATCCAAAAGTGGCTGATCAAAAGTCCTGATCAAAAGTTGGCTGATCAAAAATGCCTGAACAAAAGTGCCTGATTCAAAAGTGCCTGATCAAAATTGGCTGAATCAAAAGTGGCTGATCAAAAGTGGCTGATCAAAAATGGCTGATCAAAAGTGCTGAACAAAAGTGCCTGAAATAAAAGTGGCTGATCCAAAAGTGGCTGATCAAAAGTGCCTGATCAAAAGTTGCCTGAATCAAAAGTGACTGATCAAAAGTGGTGGCTGATCAAAAGTGCCTGATAAAAAGTGGCTGATCCAAAAAGTGGCTGATCAAAAGTGGCTTGAATCAAAAGTGCCTGAATCAAAAGTGCTGATCAAAAGTGGTTGATCAAAAGTGCTGATCAAAAGTGGCCTGAGCAAAAGCGGCTGAACAAAAGTGGCTGTATCAAAATTGGCTGATCAAAGTGCCTGACCAAAAAGTGGCTGATCAAAAGTGGCTGATCAAAGTGCTGATCAAAAGGCCTGACCAAAAGTGGATGGATCAAAAGTGGCTGAATCAAAAGTGCCAAATCAAAAGTGGCTGATCAAAAGTGGGCGGATCAAAGTGTCTGATCAAAGTGCAGATCAAAAGTAGTTGATCAAAAGTGGCTGATCAAAAGTGGCTGATTCAAAAGTGGCTGATCAAAAGTGGCTGATCAAAAGAGGCTGATCAAAAGTGCCGATCAAAACTGCCTGATCAAAAGTGGCTGATCAAGTAAGTGACTGATCAAAGAGGCTGATCAAAAAGTGCCTGATAAAAAGTGGAGCTGATCAAAAGTGCCTGATCAAAAGTGGGCTGATCAAAAGTGCCTGGATCAAAAGTGGCTGATCAAAAGTGGCTGATCAAAAGTGGATGATCAAAAGTGGCTGTTCAAAAGGGTCTGATCAAAAGTGGCTGATCAAAAGTAGCTGACCGAAAGTGGCTGATCAAAAGTGCCTATCAAAAGTGCCTGCTCAAAAGTGCGCTGATCAAAAGTGGCTGATCAAAAGTGGCTGATACAAAAGTGCCCTGCTCAAAATGCTGATCAAAAGTGGTGAGTCACAAAGTGACAGATAAAAATTGGCTGATCAAAAGTTCCTGATCAAAAGTGGCTGATCAAAAGTGGCTGATCAAAAGTGGCTGATCAAAAGTGCCTGATCAAAAGTGGCTGATCAAAAGTGGCTGATCAAAAGTGTCTGATAAAAAGTGGCTGATCAAAAGTGGCTGAATCAAAAGTGATGATCAAAAGTGGTCTGATAAAAAGTGCCTGATCAAAAGTGCCTGATCAAAAGTGTCTGATCAAAAGTGCCTGATCAAAAGTGCCTGATCAAAAGTGCCTGATCAAAAGTGGTTGATCAAAAGTGGCTGAACAAAAGTGGCTGATCAAAAGTGCCTGATCAAAAGTGCTGATCAAAGTGTCTGATAAAAAAGTGGGCTGAACAAAAGAGGCTGATCAAGAAGAGGCTGATCAAAAGTGTCTGATAAAAAGTGCCTGATCAAAAGTGCCTGATCAGAAGTGGCTGATCAAAAGTGCCTGATCAAAAGTGGCTGATCAAAAGTGCCTGATCAAATGTGGCCCGATCAAAAGTGTTTGAATCAAAAGTGGCTGAACAAAAGTGGCTGATTCAAAAGTGCCCTGAAATCAAAAGTGCCTGAATCAAAAGAGGCTGAACAAAAGAGGCTGAATCAAAAGTGGGCCTGACAAAAGTCCTGAATCAAAAGTGCCGATCACAATTGGCTGATCAAAAGTGCCATTGATCAAAAAGTGGCTGATCCAAAAGTGCGGATCAAAAGTGCCTGATCAAATGTGTCCAAACATAACATGCCAGAAGGCACCAAGGCCTGCCAACCTCCAGTTAATATTGCCAACATACATTGTGCAGAAGCAGCCAGCCTGCCAACTCTCCATTATAATATTGTCTCAACATACATTGTGCAGAAGGCAGCCAGGCCTGCAACTCTCCAGTATAATTGCTCAACAAACATTGTGCAGAAGGGCAGCCAGGCCTGCCAACTCTCCATTATATTGCTCAACATACATTGTCCAGAAGGCAGCCAGGCTGCAACTCCTCCATAATATTGCTCAACCTACATTGTGCAGAAGGCAGGCCAGGCCTCCAACTACTCCAGTAATATGCTCAACAACATTGTGCAGAAAGGCAGCCAGGCCTGCAAAAACTAGAGCAATATTGCTCAACATACATCGTGCAGAAGGCATCCAGGCTGCCAACATCCCGTAATATTGCTCAAACACACATTTTGCAGAAGCAGCCAGGCCAGCAAAACACTAGAGCAATATTGCCAACATACATTGTGCAGAGGCAGCCAGGCCTGCCACACTTTCCAGTAATATTGCACAACATACATTGTGCAGAAGGCAGCCAGGCCTGTCAAACAATAGAGGCAATAATTGCTTCAACATACATTGTGCAGAAGGCAGCCAGGCCTCGCACAGCACTCCGGGGGTAACAATGCTCAACATACATTGTGCAGAAGGCAGCCAGGCCTGCCAACACTCCAGTAATATTGCTCAACATACATTGTGCAGAAGGCAGCCAGGCCTGCCAACACTCCAGTAATATTGCTCAACATACATTGTGCAGAAGGCACCAGGCCCTGCCAACTCTCCAGCAATATTGGCTGCACATACATTTCCAGAAGGCAGCCAGGCCTGCCAACACTCCATAATATGCTCAACATACATTGTGCAGAAGGCAGCCAGGCCTGCCAACACTCCAATAATATTGCTCAACATACATTGTGCAGAAGGCAGCCAGGCCTGCCAACACTCCAGTAATATTGCTCAACGTACATTGTCCAGAAGGCAGCCAGGCCTGACAAACTCTCCATTAATATTGCTCCCATACATTGTGCAGAAGGCAGCCAGGCCTGCCACACTCCAGTAATAATGCTCAACGTACAATTGTCCAAGAAGGCAGCCAGGCCTGCCAACACTCCAGAAATTTGCTCAACATACATTGTGCAGAAGGCAGCCAGGCCTGCCAACACTCCAGTAATATTGCTCAACATACATTGTGCAGAAGGCAGCCAGGCCTGCCAACACTCCAGTAATATTGCACATCATACATTGTGCAAGAAAGGCAGCCAAGCCTGCCAACACTCCAGTAATATTGCTCAACATACATTGTGCAGAAGGCAGCCAGGCCTGCCAACACTCCAGTAATATTGCTCAACATACATTGTGCAGAAGGCAGCCAGGCCTGCCAACACTCCAGTATATTGCTCCAACATACATTGTCCAGAAGGCAGCCAGTCCTGCCAACACTCCAGTAATATTGCTCAAAATACATTGTGCAGAAGGCAGCCAGGCCTGCCAACACTCCAGTAACATTGCTCAACATACATTGTCCAGAAGTCAGCCAGGCCTGCCAACACACCAGTAATATTGCTCAACATAACATTGTGCAGAAGGCAGCCAGCTGCCAACACTCCCAGAAATATTTGCTCAACATACATTGTCCAGAAGGAGCCAGGCCTGCCAACTCTCCAGCAATATGCTCAACATACATGTCCAGATGGCATCCAGGCCTAGCCAACACTCCAGTAATATTGCTCAACATACATTGTGCTAGAAGGCAGCCAGGCCTCCAACACTCCCAATAATATTGCTCAACAAACAGTTGTTGCAAGAAGGCAGCCAGCTGCCCAACACTCCAGTAAGATGCTCAACGTACATTGTCCAGAAGGCAGCCACAGGCCTGCCAACACTCCAGTAATATTCCACATACAATTGTGCAGAAGCAGCCAGTCCTGCCAACACCTCCAGTAATAATTGCTCAACGACATTGTCCATAAGGCCAGCCAGGCCTGCAACACTCCAGAATTATTGCTCAACGTACATTGTCAGAAGGCAGCCGGCCTGCCAACACTCCAGTAATATTGCTCAACATACATTGTGCAGAGGCAGCCAGGCCTGCCAACTCTCCAGTAATATTGCTCAACATAACATTGTGCAGAAGGCATCCATGCCCTGCAACACTCCATAATATTGCTCAACATACAATGTCCAGTAGGCAGCCAGGCCCTGCCAACACTCCCAGTAATATTGGCTCAACATACATTGTCCAGAAGGCAGCCAGGCCAGCCAACACTCCACAAATTAGCTCAACATACATTGTCCCAGAAGCCGCCAGGCCTGCCCAACACATCCAGCAATAGTGCTCAAACATACATTGTCCAGAAGTCACCAGGCCTGCCAACACTCCAGCAATATTGCTCAACATATCATTGTCCAGAAGGCAGCCAGGCCTGCCAACACTCACAGTAATATTGCTCAACATACATTGTCCAGAAGTCAGTCCAGGCCTCCCAACACTCAGTAATATTGCTCAACATACATTGTCCAGAAGCAGCCAGGCCTGCCCAACACTCCAGCAATATGCTCAACCAACATGTCCAGAAGGCAGCCAGGCCTGCCAACACTCCAGTAATATTGCTCAACATACATTGTCCAGAAGCAGCCAGGCCTGCCAACACTCACAATATTGCTCAACATACTTGTCCAAAGGCGCCAGGCCTGCCAAACACTCCAACATATTGCTCACATACAATGTCCCAGAAGCAGCCAGGCCATGCCAACACTCCAGTAATATTCTCAACATACATTGTTCCAGAATGCAGCCAGGCCTTGCAAACACATCCCTTAATATTTGCTCACAAACAATGTCCCGAAGGTCAGCCATGCCTTCCAACACTCCCAGCAATATCGCTCCCATACATTGTCCAGGAGGCAGCCAGGCCTGCCAACACTCCAGTAATATTGCTCCAACTACATTGTCGCAGAAGGCACCAGGCCGCCAACACTCCACAATATTGCTCAACATACATTGTCCAATAGGCAGCCAGGCCTGCCAACACTCAGCCAAATAATGGCTCAACATACATTTGTCCAGAAGGGCAGCCAGGGCCTGCCCAACACGCACATTAATATTGCTCAACATACATGTCAGAAGGCAAGCCATGGCCTGCCAACACTCCAGTAATATTGCTCAACATAACAATTGTCCAAAGGCAGCCTGGCCTGCCAACCTCTCCAGTAATAATTGCCTCAACATACATGTCCATAAGGCGCCCAGGCCTGCCAACACTCAGTAATATTTGCTCACATACATTGTCCAAAAGGCAGCCGGCCCTGCCAATCACTCCAGTAATATTCTCAACATACAATTGTCCCAGAAAGGCAGCAGGCCTGCAACTCTCAGTAATATTGCCAACATACATTGTCCAAAGGGCAGCCAGGCCTGCCAACTTCTTCTCAGTATTATTGCTCAACATACATTGTCCAGAAGGCAGCCAGGCCTGCCAACACTCCAGAATATTGCTCAACATACATTGTCCAGAAAGGCAGCCAGGCCTGCCACTCTCGCAGTAATATTGCACAACATACATTGTCCAGAAGGCACCAGGCCTGCCAACACTCCATAATATAGCTCACATATATTAAGTACGTTGTTCTTTGATATAATAAACAAATATATTTTAAAAACGAAATTCTTGAAGAAAAAGATCCGAGAAATTCGAAATTCTACCAGCCTCTTGAAATTAAAAAAAAAATAATCTGCCATATTATATTTTTTAAAATCTAAATTTTGTCAGAAAAGTATTTTAATTTGATATTCTGAAAAACACCGTTTGATTAAAGTAGAAAAAAACTATATAAAAGACATTTTTCCAAACCTTCACCGTCCACAAAATTAATAAAAAATACTTCATATTAAAATTCACTTCTATTTTGGGTTTAAAGTAATTTAGAAAGATGTCTTCTTTGTTTATTACAAAGAGGAAAGTAATTTTGATAAGTAATAATTAACAACTTGACCTTTGAGACAGCGAAGTGAGTGACAAAGCTTTTCCAAAACTGTCAGTAAGACACATATGTCAACAGTATTAGGTATTTTATATCGAAACGTTTCCGCTCTACACAGTAAGGCCTTCTTCAGTCGAGTACAGAAAATTGATCGAAGCAGAAGAAACTTTTCTGTACTCGACTGGATAAGCCAACTGTGTAGGCGAAACGTTTCGAAAATAAATATAACCTAACTGTTGCATATGAGTCTTACCTAACAATCTGTCGGTATTTTTTTACCATTTTTAATGTTTCATTTTCAATACTGCCGACCATGGTAAAAGGGCTTCAAGCAGTTCAGAAAATCATTCTTCTGTATGTATCTCATTCCCAACAACTGGTTTTGTCATAAATTGGAGATGGAGTTGTTTAGATGGAGAAATGGGAGGTCATCAGGAAGATGTGAGGGGAATATTTTGAGGAACTGTTAAATGTAATGAGGATAGGGAAGCTTGAAATTTCGTGTTCTGTAGGAATGAGGAAGAGCAAGTTATGAGAGTGAGGGAAGTGAGTGAGGAGTCCAGTGCTTACGTAAAAATAAAGGAGGGTAAATCAGCAGCTTGGCTTGATGGGATTAAGACGAAAAGTTGAAAATATGGGGGATATGTTTTTAGAATAGTTAGCGCTTTTTATTTAATAACGTATAAAAAGGGTAAGGTTCATAACGACTGGCAGAGAACATGCCATAGGCAAACGGGACAAAAAAGAAGGGTAAAAACTGTGGATTCGAAAAGGAGTATAATAGTGTGATATGGGGGAGGGTATGTGGCAATTCTGCAAATAGAGGTAGGTTACTGAAAAGCCAGTGAATGAGTTTATTTACGAGGAAAGTGAGGCTCAGGTTAAGTATGCAGGAGAGGGAGATTTTTTCCCCAGATAATGGGAATGGTTAATGGTGATGTCACCATGTAGTTCCATATATTTATGGATGGGGGATGTAAGAGAAGTCAATCTCAGGTGTTGGCAAAGAGGTGTGGGGGTTAAAAGATCAAGAATCTAACACAAATGGGAGTTTGGTCATAGTTAGTTCTTTTGCTGATGACATCTGTTGTTTCGGGAGATTCTGACAGAAGTTTGCAGGACGTTGTGGATGAGAAGTAGTAGGAGGGTAAAAAGAAGAAAATTAAAAGTGAATATAGGAAAGAGTAATGTGATGAGGAGAACAAAAAAAATAGGTAAAATGCAAGACAGTATATACAGATTGGAGTGAGAGAGTATGGTAGGAGGTGAATGTAGTTCAGATATTTAGGAGTGGACGTGGTCAGCGGAATGATCAGAAAGGATGAGAGGTGAATCCATAGAATTGGATGAGGGGAAAAGGTGAGTGGTGCACATTAAGAGTCTGTCGAGACAATAAACATATCCATTGAATTAAAGAGTGGGAATGTATGAGAGCATAGTTATATTAAATAAATGCTCTTATATGGGTGTGAAGCATGGTTTGAATAGTGCAACAGGAGAAGGACTGAGCAGTGCAGATCTCTCCGTGTCCAATGGGCAATGTGATGGTGATATAAAGCAGATAATCAATAGGTTGATCATTAAGTGGAAGTGTGAGGGTACTAAAAGTATCTACATTGCTGAGGAATGATTGTTGAGGCAGTCGGGACATTCAGAGAGATTGGAACGAAATTGAATGACTTGGAGAGTGTATAAATCTGTAGTGGAGGGAAGGAGGGTAAGGGTCGGTCTAGGGAAAGTTGAAGGGGGTAAAGGAGGTATAGTATGTGAAATGCTTGGCCTTTCAGCATACTGCATGAGCATGATAGATGGAAGTGGAGACAAATGGTTTTAAGGATTTGACATGCTGTTGGAGTGTGAGCAAGGTAACATTTATGTCATCCTCATAGTGCTTCTCCATAAACATATATGTCTCCTGTTTCTTCCATTTTCTTATAGAGGCATTGTGTTCAGGGATTATTTTACAGTCATTCTGCCCATCTTCGTAGTCATCTTCTTACCTTTTTTGCCATACTCGGGAAACTATGCTCTCCCATCTCCGCATCAGACTACTCCCCTTTACCCATGGGTATCTCATGGAACGACACCCTATTCCTCTTTGTGGGGTTTGTCTGGTCCCTATTTCAGTTTTCACTTTCTTGTGGATTATCGTGTTTACCAGCGAGCTCGCAGATTTACCTCCAACAACGACGACGCTGCCCTGCTGCTTTTTCCCTTCTTGCAGACGGTCCTGCCTTTGACTTATGATCACTTTTTGCTTTTTCTCAGAAACTGCTTTACTATATGACCTTTGACACATAGCCCCTAGCATCCCTTGCAGCCCTTTTCCCCCCTCACCTCGATCCTGGAGTTTACCTGGAGAGAGTTGGGGGGGTCAACGCCCCCGCGGCCCGGTCTGTGACCAGGCCTCCTGGGGGAAACCCGAGCCTGATCAACCAGTGCGCTGCTGGGCTGCACGCAAACAAAAGTACGGAGCCACAGCCCGGCTGATCAGCAACTGACTTTAGGTGCTTGTCCAGTGCCGCTTGAAGACTGCCGGGGGGCTGTTGGTAGTCCCCCTTATGTGTGCTGGGAGGCAGTTGAACAGTCTCGGGCCCCTGACCCCTTATTCTATGGTCTCTTAACGTGCTAGTGAACACCTGCTTTTCATTGGGGGGATGTTGCATCGTCTGCCAAGTCTTTTGCTTTCGTAGTGAGTGATTTTCGTGTGCAAGTTCGGTACTAGTCCCTCTAGGATTTTCCAGGTGGGATTAATCATGTATTCTCCCGCCTGCGTTCCAGGGAATACAGGTTTAGGAACCTCAACACCCCCCAGTATTGAGTGTGTTTTTATCTCCATTATGCGCTGCCGGAAGGTTTCCCGTACATTTTCTAGGTCAGCAATTTCACCCTGCCTTGAAAGGGCTGTTAGTGTGCAGCAATATTCCAGCCTAGATAGAACAAGTGACCTGAAGAGTGTCATCATGGGGTTGGCCTCCCTAGTTTTGAAAGGGTTTCATTATTCCATCCTGTCATTTTCTAGCAGATGCGATTGATACAATTTATGGTCCTTGAAGGTGAGATCCTCCGACATGATCACTCCAGGTCTTTGACATTGGTGTTTCGCTCTATTTTTGGCCTGAATTTGTTTTGTACTTGATTAAGATTTAATTTCCTCGTGTTTACCATATTGAGTAATTGAAATTTCTCATCGTTGAACTTCATATTGTTTTCTGCAGCCCACTGAAAGATTTGGTTGATGTCCGCCTGGAGCCTTGCAGTGTCTGCAATGGAAGACACTGTCATGCAGATTCGGGTATCATCTGCAAAGGAAGACACTGTGCTGTGGC